TAGCCAGCCACCTTACCATTCATCCACCAACCAACCCAGCTATCCAGCCACCCAGCCACCTACCTACCCACCCACCCAGCTATCCATCCACCCAGCCACCCACCTACCCACCCACCCAGCTATCCAGCCACCCAGCTACCCAGCTATCCAGCCACCCAGCCACCCACCTACCCACCCACCCAGCTATCCAGCCACCCAGCTACCCAGCTATCCAGCCAACCAGCTACCCAGCCACACAAGCCACCCACTCACCCAGCTAATCAGCTACCCACCCACCCAGCTACCCAGCTAACCAGCTATCCAACCACCCACCCACCCAGCTACCCAACCACCCAGCCACCCACTCACCCAGCTAACCAGCTACCCACCCACCCAGCTACCCAGCTAACCAGCTATCCAATCACCCACCCACCCAGCTACTCAACCATCCAGCCACCCACTCACTCAGCTAACCAGCTACCCAACCACCCACCCACCCAGCTACCCAGCTACCCAGCCACCCAGCTACCCAGCTAACCAGCTACCCAGCGCTAACCAGCTACCCACCTACCCAGCTAACCAGCTACCCACCCACCCAGCTACCCAGCCACCACCCCACCCAGCTACCCAGCTACCCAGCTAACCATAGCTACCCAACCACCCAGCCACCCAACCACCCAGCTAACCAGCTACCCAACCACCCACCAACCCAGCTAACTAGCCACCCACCCACCCAGATACCCAGCTACCCAGCTAACCAGCCACCCAGCCACCCAGCCATCCAGCCATCTCATCAGCTACCCAGCCACCCAGCTATCCAGCCAGCGCGGAACTCACACCGGGCGTCCGGCGCCGGCCGCGTCCGATTCACACGCCTCGTGCGTGCGGCGACTACAGGCCGCTATCGCCACAGCGGCGGCAGCGGCGGCATTCACACGCGGCGCGGCTATTCAGGCGGCGAACTACCCGCTCATCATGCTGTCACGCGCGGCGCCCGTAATTTCACCTGTTTCACCGCCGAAAGACCGCCCGATTATCGTGCAAGAATGAGCGCGCTGCACAGAGGACGGCGGCCGAGGACAGTACGCGATCCGGATGCGTGATTCACGCTCTCGCCGCATGGCGCGCACTTACGCGATGCGAGAGATATCGGCCGTGGATTGTGCGTGCGTGCCCGCGCGTATACACGACGCACTGAGAACCGCCCGCGTAAAGTTGTCGGCGTTTTGTCGCCCGCCCTCCCCCCCTCCGAAGACCCCACATGTACACCCCGGCGGTACACCGCAGCCACGGAAACGAGCCAAAACACGAGGCGGGCGAATGTTGTTTGTGTATCGCAGCCGAAACTGGCTACAAATAGCCGGATTTTAAGCGCCGGGCTCAAGCGCGATGGCTGTCTGAAAGACTACTTGTGTGGAGTCGCTATATAGAGTTTGAATAATTTTGCTTTCCGGTTTCAGTTTAAACTTTCTCGATTTCAATTGAACGAATTGCGCTAAAGTAACCATGTGTCGTATTAATCTATCACTTTCATTTCAGCATTTTCGAATTTTACGCACATTATTAAATAATGTAATGATCTGATGAATATTGTATCATATATAATCTAATATTAAATGTTACCGTTATTATTAATAATTTTAATAACCATGCTTAGCGTAACTTCTCGTGTTGCTATAAACACATATAACCAAGAGTACACTATATTTAGACAAATTTAGATATTTAGATAAAATCTGCATAGTGGTGAACGTGACTGCTATAAATAACTTCGGAATACGCTTTCAAGACTCATTGCAAAAAAAAACACATGAAAAAACGCGCCTATGGGATGCTAAGTCGTTCACTTCGGTCGTATTCGCGCTACATTACCTCAGGAATGATATAAGTGTGCGAACGTTTACGCATGTGATGTTTACACAGACGTCCCGTTATCAGCGCACCGCAGTAGTGAGCGCTGGCGGTCCATTATAATATATACGACGTTGAAAACTGCCCACCACAGCGCGCAAGCGGTCATTGGCGATGAAAACAAGTTCGTCTCCCACACACTGCGAACGCGAGTAAGCGTCAGCATCGAGTGGAACACAACACCTCCGCATAGAATTATTAAACGCTGACACGCTGCGTATATATCGAACTCCGCCTCTTTTACAAAGCAAACACAACTAACTACACGCCTACTATTGTATACCTAATGTGCTCCTCAGTTAAACCACTAGAACCTCTACAATGGTACAAGTTTTTTTTCGTGTTTTGACAATGCCCGTTACAGTATTAGTAGGCAGACCACACGCATCCAAACAGGATTATTGAGGAAGTTTTTTTAAAAGAAAGACTCATCAACGGGGCATGCATGGTTAATGCCTCCCCCATATTTGGATACAATATAGCTCCACCTGTGTGGCAGCACAGAAAGGCCACGTATATTTTTTTTCCAGAAAGAGCCCAACAAGTGGGCCGTGCTTGTCAGCACCATAGTTTAGGTATAAACATTTTGAAATATTGGTTATTGCTATAATTGGTTATTACCTCTGGTTACATATATACAACAGAAAATAAATAAAACGTCAACACAACAGTACAGCGTAACACAATGCAGAAGTAGTAAATGACTGAAAAAAAACAGCAAAACAACAGCACGGGACTACACTAGAAATAATCAGAACAGCCAACGATAAAAAAGTTTCGCACATACACGTATACGCACGCACACGCGCACACGCACACGCACGTACACGCACACGCACGCACGCACGCACGCACGCACGCACGCACGCACGCAC